AAAAAAGCAATTTTCAGTGCATATTCTTTGAAAAACCTAAAGATTATAGGATTACACTAACCCTGAATTATCTCATACAACAGAAGGAAACTGCTGAAAAACAAAAAGTAAAAAAAAAAAATCAAAAACCTTTGGATATTGAAGTTGCTTTGAAAAGAAAAGGAGAAAAAGGATCTGTCAGCATATACTTTAGCATTTTAAAAAATCACATTGTTGACAAGTACGCTAGATCATATGGGATCAGTTCTTTTCCATTTAGTAAAAACATGTACTTACAGGTGTTGCTTTTCCCTAGAGAACGTGTGTGACAGGTGTTTGATGTTCTTGGGTTGATGTTCCGCAACATGTGGGTGGAGGGGCTCCAGAATTTTACTAATCAGAGTACTGATCTTCTCCACAATACTGTTTGACTGCTTGACCTCATAGACCTTTCAACACACACACAGCATTTTGGATCAAATGAAGGTGTTTATTTTATTAATAAGTTTTAGAACAGCCTAGAGTGCAGGAACTACTTTTTCAGCATCACTCTGAGACAGGATGTTTCTCATTTTAGAGATATTGCACAAATGTTAGAAAGCAGTCCTACACATTTGTTTAGTACAGTACAGATCCTGGTGAGATTCCTCACAGTGTTACTAGAGGTCAGAGTAAGCCTCTAAGAATTTTAGGACTGAATACAGTAACCTCATTATTGTCTGAATTTAGAGTTCATCCAGGCCTTTATGTCTTTAAGACACACATGTAGTTTAACTCATTGGTTAAACCCTGCAACTTACTGACCTAGTTATAAACGAATTAATCTACTCATTGAAAAAAAGAGAAAGGCATATAAAAGGTCTGTGATTTATGATCATTTTTAAATTCTCCTGTGCTTTCATCCTAAACTTATGTATCTGATGCACAAACAGCATCTTCACATTTAGCACAAGGTAAGTTAAAAGCATAAGTTACAAACACAGAGATCCAGGTGTCTTTTACGAAATAGAAAATATAGAATTTATATAATATAGAAGTTTCTTAACTGTTATGATGACACAGATATGTTAAACCTAAATAGTTTGTATATTTGATACTGACTCTAAACTGCCCATTTGAAATATATAACATAGCATAACATGGCATTTTTTAAACTAACATTTTAAAGACTTACTTTTTTGGTGGGCATCTTTAACTTCATGAATTCGGCTTCTCGACACAGAACGTTCCAGGGAGCATGGATTTTCACAAAGTACACTCCTGGAATCTTGCCCTAAGAGGGAAACAGCATGCAAAAACAACTGTATAAAACTCCCATATAGTTTTATTTCATTTTCAAAACACAGATAGAGAAATAAAATAATACTGCACATGTATGGCTTCAGATCTCTCTTGCTCGCTAATATAATATTATTATATACTACCAGTCAAAAGTTTGGACACACCTTCTCATGTAATGGTTTTTCTTTATGTTCATGACTATGACTATTCAAAGCTATGACTGAACACATATGGAATTATGTAGGAATTATGTAGTAAACAGAAATGTGTGAAACTCAAAACATGTTTTATATTTGAGATTCTTCAAAATAGCCACCATAATATGAATTCTAACAGTTGTCAAATAGGGCTGCCAGCTGTGCACCATCCTGACTTTTACACAACACAACTGATGGTCCCATCCCCATTAAGAAGGCAAGAGATTCCACAAATGAACGCTGACAAGGCACACCTGTGAAGTGAAGAACTAGTCCAGTTACCAAAGCAAAGGGAATACCTTTGGGGAATTTAAAATATAACACATATTTAGAGTTATTTATCTTTTTTTTTTTTTCTTTGCTTCATAATTCCATATATGTTGCTTCCAGCATTCCGGCTCCAATAGTTGGCAAACTTCCCTTTGTGCTGCCTTGATCTTGGCCTCTAGTCTCCTTCTCCATGGAGGGTCCTTCTCCTTGTGGCTGATTATCTTATAGCCTAGCATCTCTGTGATCACTGCTGCCGTGATGTAGATCAGCTGGTTGATTTCGATGATGGTCACAGTAGAGTTGCATTCCAAAATGCTGCATTCACATCTTCTAGTCTAGTAGACCATCAGAGGGTATTCCACATAGTCTTGGTAATCAGCCACAGAGGGTCCAGGTTTACAGCTTAGCCATGATCCTATCTCTCAGGTCAGTTGCTCTTGCTATCAACACAACTTCAGTTGTGCTTGGGGCTTGGTACCCATTCTCATGTGGGGATGAGGATATTTCCCCCCGACCTGATGTCCTGGCTCTCCCTTGGTGTAGCATTTGTGTTGTACCTCATTGATCTCCAGTTATGAGAGCAGTTTCTTCTTCCGAATATTGGAACACTGAATTACTGCATATTGTTAAGTAAGTAAAATTTACTTATATAACACAAGATGGGAATATATTTCAAAGTGCTTTACAAAGATATTACAAATACAGTTTAGTCACACAAAAACAACATAACACACAAAAACATTATCCAATATTTTGTTATGCTTGTCTGAATTGACACGTTAGATTAAATCTTACATAGTTTTGGTGCTAAGGTTTGGAAGCATCCCCTTTAGTTTTCAGACAGGTACATGGAATCCCCAGTTTCAGCAATCGTAAGGATCTGGTTTGGAGAATAAGGGTGAAGTAGCTGATGATATAAGTGGGGGCCTCTCCTTGTAAGGCCATGAACATAAACGTTTACGTTCATGGCCTTACAAGGATTTTAAATTGATATCTAAAACTAAGTGGATGCCAGTGCAGACTCTTTAACAATGGGGTGATATGAGAGAATTTGTGAGTGTGAGTTAAAAGCCTTGCCGCAGCATCTTGGATGGTTTAAAGGTGATTTATCAAAGCTTTTGACAGACAAGAAAAAAGGGGCATTACAATAGTCTAATCGAGAAGAGATGAAAGTATGAACAAGCATCTCCATTTCAGGTTTAGTGATATTACTTAAGGGAAGAAAGCAAGAGCAGGTCACAGATTACATGTAGGCATCAAAAGCCAAAGACTGATCAGAAATTCACTGAGCAGTAGCTTTTACAGCGGATGAGAAAGCTCCCAGATGTTGTCTAATTTGGGGATTAATGCTCTCTGGAGTCATAATTAAACAGCCTGTCTTGTTTGTATTAAGCTACAGAAAATTGTTTGCTGTTCAACCATTTATTTTCTTAAGACAGTCCATTAGAATGGATAGTTTGTCCAGTTCATAAGGTTTGAAAAAAAGGTACAGTTGAATATTGTCTACATAAAGATGATAAGAAATGTATTTAAAACTAAAACTAATTCAGAACTAATAATCTAGCGTACTGGTAGAATATACCATGAGAACAGCAAGGAACTTAAAACAGATCCTTGTGGAACACTGCATGTGAATCTAGCTACATCTGAGCAAAAGTTTCACATTGAGACCAAAAGTCTTCTAACCACAAGAAATGAAGTGAACCACTCCAAGAGCTCCCTGGCCTCTGGTAGAGGACCAAAGCCCATAGGGGTGAGAGGGGACTTGGGTTTCCTCCTTTTTAATGCTCTGCACTGCTTCTATCCAAAGTTTTGGCTTTAGCAAGTGAAATGCATGCTCAAGATCAGGCGACTGACTTGGCCATTCAAGGATATTCCACTTCTTTGCTTTAATAAATTCCTGGGTTGCTTTGGCTGCATGTTTTGGGTCATTGTCCATCTGTATTATGAAACGCCGCCCAATCAATTTGACTCCATTTAGCTAGGTTTGAGCAGACAGTATGTCTTTGAACACCTCATTCAGACTCAATTCATTCAGCTGTTTCTGTCCTGTGTCACATCATTAATAAACACTAGTGTCCTAGTGGGACTGGCAGCCATACACCCCAAACCATCGCACTGCCTGCGCCATGTTTTACAGATGATGTAGTTTGCTTTGGCTCATGAGCTGTTCCACACCTTCAAGTACCTAGCTTTTGCATTTACTTTCATGCAGTCTTCTCTTTATGGTAGATTTGCATATTGATATGCCTACCCCCCTGGAGAGTGTTGTTCATTTGGTTGGCTGTTGTGAAGGGGTTTCTCTTCACCGTGGAAATAATTCTGTGATCATCCACCACTGTTGTCCTCTGTGGACGTCCGGGCCTTTTGTGTTGCCGCATTCACCAGAGCTTTCTTGTACCAAACTATAGTTTTCCACTCCTAATATTGTAGGAATTTCTCGGATGCAGCTTAAGCAGCTTAAGCATGGCTTATTTCACCTGCATGGAGAGCTCCTGTGACCGCGTATTGTTGGTTCACAGCAAAATCTTTCACTTCCAAGCACCACACCTCAGATCAACTCCAGGCCTTTTATCTTCTTAATTGATAATGAAATAAAGAAGGAATTGCCCACAACTGCCTATGAAATAACCTTTGAGTCAATTGACCAGCAAGCATTAAAGCATGAAAGGTTTAGGAGTTTCAGTCAATTGAGCTGAAACTTCTAAACCTTTCATCCAATTTGAATGTAGATACCCTCAAATTAAAGCTGAGACGCTACACATTATGTCCATGTCCATTTTATAACTGTAACTGGAATATGTGTCAGTAAAAAAAAACAAAACAGTAAAAAACATCAGTGTCCAAATATATATGGGCCTAACTGTGTGCAAAATACTAGAATTACTGATTAGGAAATACTGATGTCACCTGAACACCCCTGTGTCCCGAGACTAGACTGGTGTTTTACTGTGTATTCTGTTTCAGGAAAATGGATCCTGTAGTCTCTCTCGTCCCTGTCTGTTAGTTCAAAGGTCCAACTTACTGGAAATTTACAAAGACTGGGGATTTTTTCATTAAACCAGAATTAACCTAGTATCAGCTAATACTGGTAGTTACCAAAATGTCAGAAATTAGATAGTGGCATGTGTAGAAAACCAGGAATTTAGACTCCGTGTGGTGTTCACAACCTCAGGTCAGCTGTGGAGACAACTATTTTCTATTTTTATTCTGGCATTAGGACATCTTATACATAGACAGAATATCAGTTTCCACTTTTAAGTGACTGATATATAGATACAGCTAAACTGCAACCCTGCAAATAGTTTTACAGAAACTGGCTGCCTCTTAAAATATTGCAGACATTGAGAATCTTCTAACGTTTGCAGTTAAATATAAGGTTTATATAAGTTATAAGGTAAATAAAAACCACTGTGCAAAAATATATTAGTAATAATAATAGTAATTACTATTATTAGACACTGTCATCACTAGACAGAGATTTCAAGATCAAGTCAAATTGTAAATCTGCCAAAACTGTGAAACAGTGTAGCAGTGCATTCACATATTTCGCAATTAGAACATCAAACTGCAGTGGAAATTACTTTTTTCATGCTCAGATCAGGCTTTTCTGGCATGGTGCTTCAAGAACCACAGTTTGTGATCCAGTAGGTGCTTAGTGTAAAATGACAAATTTCGATCCTCGTGAAAGTTCATTGTTGACTTCATTGTTAAGACTTATGGTCCAGAGATCTCTCTAACAGGTCTATGAAGATTCAGTTCAGGTGTTTTTGTTTTGACCCCTGTGTCATCCATGTACCTGGGAGCAGTATCTGGAAAGAGGTCAGGATTTGTGTTTATACAGTAGTTGATCACTACTGGAGTCACCAGTGAACTCATGGCATAGCTGCAAGCACATCTAGTATGTGTTCTGTGAGGTGAGGTTGGTTTTGCTGTTGTTCTGTCCTTTGACAAGGACACCAACATAAAAACACACCTTCAAATATATGATGATATCTGTATGGACATTTCTTACAACATGAATAAGTTGTAAATTCTTTCTATTGACATTCTATTGAGTTTGAAGTTTGTGTGTTCAAGTGTGTTTCAGTGGATTAGTGAAGATGTGTAAGAGAGAAAGGGTGAGATGCATGAAAGTGGAAATTGTGAACTGCAGAGCAGGATCATTTCTGTCTCTTAGTGCATGTGCAGATCTGCTGTTCTTTATGATGAACAATGAGCTGAGTGGAAAAATGCTGTTGGCCAACAAGCCTTTTTGAAAGCCTACAGACATATCTCTCATGGTAGGCATGTCACACTTAGCACCCCTGAGGGTCATTCTCGCAAATGATAATACGTGAAGGGCCATACACAAATACACCTATTTGACTGCTTGTAAACACACATATTAACACACTCAATTAGCAGCAAGTTAAGTCAAGACAACCCTTTAGAAATTCAAAATGAGCATCAAAATAACCCCCCTGTCAGGAGCCTTGAAAGTGCTTACGAGTGTAATGCATATAGGTTTATGAGTGGTTTTATTGTGGAAGCATTCCCATCACTAAATGAGTCGTGAGTCAGTCATCATTTTCTGCAAGGGTGATAATAAGTTTAAGGAGTTCCTCTTTATAGTCTGAGGAAGTATCTGCCAGTACAGCTTCACAGCACTGGTGATGAGCCAGTATGTTAGAGCTCTAAAACTGCAATGGCTCTAAAACTGAAGCAGCAAACTTAGAGCTAAAGGTATCAAAACAAAGAAGTAGTCAATTTAAAGTTATGCCTCCCTCTAGGGGAACAGGTGATGGTTTCCTATTGAGGCAAAGAAAAATGAATTGACTTGTACTAAGAGTACTCACTTCCTTCTCTCATAGGCATTAAATTTGTGCTTTTTTGTTACTGAAACTATGAGATATGCCATGATATTGATATTTTAAGTTTGGTTATAGGAAACATTATAGAAAATATAAAAAATATTTTATTTCAGATTGTGACACTGGGAGTGGGTGTAAAACTCATTTGGGTGAAGTTTTTTTTCCTTTCTTTAAAAAAAAAAAGAAAAAAAAAAGCTTAAATGTGTTTTTCAGCCTTGAAGATATTGTGTGGCTAGCTCCTGTACCCAATTTAAAGGTTACAAGGGCTCAAAAATGCTTGGAATAATAAGATGAATTAAAAGCATCAAAATTCAAAATATTCAAATATAGTTTAAGGGCCTGTGTATTGAAAGAAACTGTCATTGTATTAGGTTAAAATTTGACATGACTTCATTTACAATAAGATGTCCAAAAAAGAGAGAAAGACAGAAAGAAATTTGCTTGGTTGGAAGCACACACTCAAAAGAAGTGACCAAATGAGGCTAGTCAGTTTTTGTAATAAATAATTATTAGAACTTACATCTTCATCTTTTTCCAGGTCTAGCCCCATGTCTCTCAGTTTTCCTTCAAACTCCTCCCGTCTTAATGCCTTCTGATCCTCCTGGCTATTGAAGATTTCTCCTGAACAACCCAACTCCATGTCAATAGCTGTCGATGAATGTACGGAGGATGAGTCTTTCGTCCTTTGTGTTTGCTTGGCTCTGAGCTTTTCGCCACCACTCTGAGGACCATGGCGGAAGCTGCGGGTAACAACATTCTCAGTGAGGAGATGCACTGACTGGCGAGTGGAGTGGCTTCCACTCGACTTCTTCACGGAATAGGTGATCACGTAGTCAACACGCCGTTGACCATCCTGGAAGAAGAGCCCATGCTGGGAGCGGGTATTTTCCTCTGGAGTTAGAGCCTTCAGCCGCTGAAAATACACAGATTTAAACCACACATGTAAGAGCGAGAGCCTAGGGAACATGATTTATGCATTTATAAGTTGACAAGAGGGACTGCAAGAAATGCACGCAGAAAGAGATGGGGAGGATATCCAACAAGAAGAACTGCACTCAAATCAGGAGTGTTGCCATTCAGTGTCTGACACCATTGGATCACCAGCATGGTTCGATGATGTAAAAATTTAACAGTTTTGTTCACATATGTTGTTTGTTTCTTTTTTAATACACATAAAACCATATATCATGGAAAAAATGTAAAAATAGCAAGATTTCCTTTCTGGACTTGCACTTATCAAGCTATTCTTTTACTGAGGTTTTGCATGCCAGTACCAGCACAGAAAACGTATATACACCAGCTACAGTTCAGTGCAGTGTACGACCTGCTGAAGGAACTTCATTTTAATCCTTCTCATTACTTAAAGCAGCAGTACCTGCCTTAAATAATGAGCAGTGCTGCAGAGTGGCAGTAGCACTCTTAAAGACCGTATCAATGTAGAAGTTTTGGTTATGTTCAACATGGACTGCTGACTATTTTTATTTTTTAACCAGTATTTTGAGTTTTAAATATATTAAAATAGCTGTAATTGCTGCACAAGAACATCAAAAAGAAGGCTGCAACTCATGTAGTTTGTGTTTAAACATACCAGCCTACATAGTTGTTCAAGAATGTACAAAACAAGCAAAAAAGGTTGAATAATTTTTGTTTTGTCAGTAGGAACAACTATGGCCAATCATCAGTTGTTCAGTTAGGTCAGTGAGGATGAAGTATTACATCAAATCCAAGTCCAAACTATTATTAAATAGATGTTATTCCGTGTCTTTATTTATCTTGCCTTATCTGTCCTCCTACTCTCTCTCTTTCAGTCTCTGTGTCTCTTGCAGAGACGCTTACCTTAAACTTGCCGTGGAAGATGACATCTCGTAGAAAATGCGGAGTCTGTTGCTCAGACCCAGAGGTTTGAGAGAAGTTGACTTGATCTTCTACATTCTCTGTCATTGTCCAGGTAGAAAAAACGGTAAACGTATGTGGTGAAGAGTTGTTTTCTTACAGAAAATAGTCCTGGTTCTGCCTTAGGTCTCTCTGTGTTTGCCTCCTGTTTGAGATTTTTCACTATATGACTCTGCTGGGCTTTGATAGCCCCGCCTCTACTCTTATTTTTCAGTGACTTGCCACTTTTCTGTCTTTGTCTTCCTTTAAAGCTCTGTGTAAAGCCCTGTTTTTGTCTGGATTGTGGTGCTACTAAAGTGAGTGAGCAGCCTTGTTACTTGAGATGCATTCTGCAAGCCAAGATCTAAACTTAGACAACGATAAAACTCTGATGAACACAAGGTGCCCTGCCTCACTTTCTCTGTATTTGCTAAACTGTACCAACTTCAATACACAGTGTGCCTCCTTCTCTCGCAGTCTCCTGCATAGCTCCTTAGTATTGCGGTGTTAATAAGTAGTTTTGCAGATTATTAGCACGTGTTAATTTATTGGTTTATTTTATTGTTTGCAACCGTTTTCTCTCTAATACTGTAATGAAAGAACAACCAGCAGCTGTTGTTAAATAGTTTAAAGGATATCTATCAATTTTTGTTTGCTCAATTAACTCAGGGTCATGAGGAGCTGAAGCTTATCCCAGCTTTCATGGGGCAAGAGGCAACACATACCCTGGACAGGTCACCAGTCTCCCTAACCCAATTCATGTCTTTGGACTGTAGGAGGAAACTAGAATACACAGAAAGAGTCCACATAGACACGGGGAAACATGCAATCTCCACAAAGAATGAACGCAGCCTGAATCTGAACGCAGACCACCTTGCATGGAAACACTGTGCAACAAAGTGTTTCATTGGTTCTGTGCAGGTTTTCAGTCATCCAGGTAGACCAGGGAGCCTGGAAAGAAAACGAAGTCCAAAAAAAAAAAAAGAAGTCCAGTCACCTTCTTTCTAAGCTTTATTTTGTTCAAAATGTACAGTCAAGTCTGCTTGCAATTTCAGTTGTATTTTTTCAATATATACAGAGGTCAAGTACAGTTTTATAATAATATTAAAAACAGTTCTGATATGATCCACATTACATGAAGGCAGACATTCTCTTTTACTGTGTAGCCGACCACGATGGTCTGGAATACACAGTAAGTTACTCCTATTAGTAATAATAATTGACTTGATTACTGTCAGTGCGAGCTTTTAAAGTGGAGCTCTAGAATCTTGGGACACTTTTCCTCAAGTATATAAAAAAGTTATCAAAACATGACACTTCAGTGTAATTCTGTGTAGATTTTCCTGTGTGAAGCTGTTCCAGGAAACTGTCCTCTCTTCCATAATTGTTTACTTTGTGAGAACTAGGATCCAAAAACTTTCTGTCCAACCTCTCATTCCTGACACTTCAATCCCACAAGTTTATGTAACACAGCAGCAACATCCGCACTCAAGTGTATTTTTAGACTTTAAGAGTAAAAAAATATACACAGAATCAAGCAAAGGAAAGCAGAGACCTTGTAGAGCACAGGCTGTCGAGCTCTCAAGGGATGCCATGTGTCCGACTCAATACTGGGAGCAAGATATAGGGGTTAAAGGTCAATTCTCACAGGGAACAGCAGGAAGTGGTGTTTGTGTTCACATACTGTAACTCAGCTTTTCTAATAATTGCTTAAAACTTTGTGTACATCAGTCAAATTATGTTTCGACCAGCTGGGGTTTTGCAGGTCACACCTCTCCAAGCGTCTGAGACAAACAGCAATCAACAGCTTGTCTTACTAGAGAATTGGGTAACCTTTATATTACAATACAAAAGTTATAAACACTTACCCAGAAACCAAAATGTAGTTAAGACATACTTAAAGCATTACAACAGTAAGTATCAATCAAAGAACAGTGCAGATTCCTATGAACAGACCGTATTCATATGCTTTTTATGAAATTACGAACCTTACAGAGGATAAAATTAAATCATCAAATATTCAAACCAGAAGACTGTAGAATTCACAAGGTCTTGCTGGTTAATCAGTATTTTCTGAATACCTTTAAATCAAAACCATACTATACTACATCTGTAACGTTAACTACCTCTAACTATTAGTGGTTTCCAGCTTCATCGGTGCCTGAGCAGCAAAAAGCTCCAAGCTAACAACAACAAGGTGTCTGTGATTCAGGTTGTAACAGCAGGTGTAAAGCACTTTCCTAATCTTCCTGCACAGTCAAAGTGCTTTGGTACACATTTAACCCTACAGCTGCTTTATTATACACCAAATAAACAGTTTATCTACCTCACAAAGAATAGTCTACTGTTTGTAAACCTTCATGACCTACTTTATGGGTGGAGTCCAAGTGGTGGCATAAAGTGACTGCTGTTGGTAGAACGGTCATTCATTGGAGCTAACATTCCACATTGGGGTATGAATCGTCTCTTTTGTATACCCTGTGGAAAAACTCAGCGTCTATATGAAGGGAAAAACTTAGACCATATAAATCTTTCGACCTTAACAAGTTTGTACAGTCATGTCAAGGTCACTTCATTTGGAGGTTTGTCAGATCATTTTTCTGTACTCTGGACAGACGTGTTGCCAAGTCAAGTCAACAACATAAAACACAGCTATACAGATGTGGATTGTAAACAAGTGAAATACTACATACTGATGGGGAACTGCACTTGCATGGCGGGATTAGTGCTCATAAATCTGCTGCTTCTACTTCCTTCTACCTGCATGTGAGTAAAAACATGTAGAATGTTAAAATGTAATGTAAAACCTTCTACATAATCGAAGTACTGATTACATCACTTACAGGTTACATCAGAGGCCTGAATAATTCATCCTGGAACTGCAGTGTTAGTACAGTATGTCCTCTATGAATTGCATATATGAATATTACCTGGATCAATATACCAAAATGTTGATTCTGTTCATCTGGAAGGTTTTAGTGGAAACCCACAAATCTTCTTACCTGGATGTCAGTGCTTGCATCAAGACCTAGATCAGAAGTTTATATTGTTAAATACAGTCTTTTATGTAGGCTAATCATTGCAGGGTATGTTCATGCTGCAGCCATGCAGCCACAATGCCTCGTAGAGCACAGGAAGAACAGACACAGGAAGCACATCGGTGACCTTCATGAGATAAGACATGTCCAGCAGCACTGAGTCAGATCAATTTCAGGAAGCCAAAGATGACAGCCAGCCAGCTCAGACATTCCTAAGAGAACTAGCAGGCCTAATGTGAAAAGCATGGACATCTACCAAGTTCAGTTCAGTCATATTTAAAATGAATTAAAATGTGTAGCCAAAACTCTATAAAACCTTTTTTCTTGACACAGAGCGAATAAGTACGTAAACATATGTTGCTTTAATACATAGGAAGCTAAGAGGCCTTGAACCTAATGCAGCTGTTCTTACTAGAAGGCACCTCACTGACACAGATTCTGAACCAGACACTGAAAAAGATCTATGAGATCCACTTTCATCTGTTTATGACATGCAGTTATGGCGCCTCCCACCACCCATTATAGAGAAGTCATGAGATGCTGGAGAAACTTAAAAATAAGCTTACTTAAGACTAAGTTTACTGCAGTGTGAAACCCTGGAGCTTATTAGCAGGGAGCCATCAAAACGCAGAAAAAGTTACAGTTACAAACACTGTCCTCACCATATTTTCAATAACCAGAAAAAATTACAGATTTGTTTTGTGAGAGGGCAGAACAGGAGCAGCTAGAAAATGTCATTGAAATAAGTGTCTGACTTTGTCATCAGTCCGATGTCGGAGATGAATACTTGCTGCTGAGAGCTAGGTTCAACACTAAACATTTCCTCAATCATCCCCAGCTTCCTAGATGAATACGCTTTGTACTGTTCACACATTCTTTCCACAGGAAGTGTTCAGATAGAGAGGAAAACATCTAAATGACTTTAAACACAGTGCAAAATCTAAGAGGCAATATAGCTCCAGATGGAAGTTAAAAATACTTGCAACTGCCAGTACCACCCCTCAGCCTCCTAGTAGACACATCTAAGCTATCAATTTCAAAATTCCCCCTCATCTTGTTTTCAAGTTATCACATTCACAAGATTTCCAGAAAACTTGCTCTGACCTTGAGGTCGAGGTCACTGAGATCAGAAGTTGTCCAAGTTTATTTGTAGATACAACTATGGTATCGATTTGAAGTTCCTACGTTACTTCATTCTTGAGTTACTGCATTCACAATCTTGGGTGTCCACTCTACCTGCCTGCCCTGAATGAAATTAAATTAATGAAATTACAGATGTTGAGATAACAGATGTGTTTCACCTGCTAATAGATTTCCAGATTTGACATATTTCTTTATTTGTCCATTTCATAAGTGGAGAGCAATTTTTCACCTTTTGTGAAATGTGGAATATGGAATATATCTTTGAGAACAGTATAAACCAGGGGTCAGCAACCTTTAACACCCAAAGAGCCATTTGGACCTGGTTTCCACGCATAAGAAAACACTGGGAGCCACAAATACTTTTTGACATCTAAAATGAAGACAACACTGTATATATTGTTTTTTACTTTTATGCTTTGTGTGAACAACTAAGGTGTGTTGCTTATGAAATCCATGAAGTGCTACAGAGAAAATTACATTTTATTTATGTAATTAACACATTTTGAACTCTTAAAGAAATATAACAAAAGGAAAGACACCCAGCTGAACTAAAATGATCAAGCAAACAAAAACTGTTGTGAGCCGCCACCCTTATATCGCCTTTGTGATTTTGGAGGCTTGACCTGACTTTTAAAAAATACTTGAAAAAAAAGCACTATGTTGCTGAAAAATGAAAAATAGATATTTGCAAAATTCTGCCTAAATATGTATTTTACCTGGTTAATGTGTGTAGCGGGGCGTGGTCTGCAGCGCCGCTGCAGGGAAGGAGGACGCACCTGATTGGCACCCGCAATCATGCCTCGCTGCCTTAACGTCTGTGCTATCTATGCTGTTGTGTTGGTCTGTGTCGTGCTGTGAGCTGCAAAGCTACAGCCGGCTGTATGCGTACAGTGTGTGAAAAGTGGTCAATGGGGCTTCTGCTCCTGAACCTCTGTCCACAGCGTTTGCAAATCGGGGCTGTACGAAGTCACTTCATCTTTAAGCAGGACTGTAAGCTGTCATCTGTGAGGCATGAGCGGTGTTTGTTTTTAACATAGTTCACTGTGGAGAACAGCTGATGACATAATGTGGATCCGAAGATCCATAATAGTAATGGTTGAAAGTCTCGATAAATGCACAGCGTTTCGGCGGGTACACTGGCTTCCGTGAGTGTGATGCTTATTTTGAGCGATGAAAAACTAATAGAATATAATTTTTTTTAATTTC